ATACAGTATATATTTTGAAAATATTTACATGTATTTGCGTGTATATATTTATATTTATATAAATTATATCATATATAAATATATTTAATATATAAACGTCACATATTTTTCTTAAATATATGCATGCATGTGTGTGTATTTATATATACATAATAAATATACACAGTACACACACATATATTATGTAAACAAAAACTTTTACTTTGGATGCGATTCATCTTTTGACAGCACTAAAAATAACTGATTTATATTTGAATATTTTAGATGTAATTTATTCCTGTGATGCAAAGCTGAATTTTCAGCATCATTACCCACTGTCTTCAGTGTCACATGATCCTTCAGATATCATTCTGATTTGCTGCTCAAGAAACATTTCTTATCATTATCAATGTTGAAAACAGTTGTGCTGCTTCATATTTTGTAGAAACAGTGTTACATTTTTTTCAGGAGTCGTCAATAACTAGAAAGTTCAAAATGACTATTTATTTTAAATGGAAATCTTTGGTAACATTATGAATGTTTTTACTGTTACTTTTGATCAATTTAATGCATCCTTGCTGAATAAAATATTAATTTCTTAAAAAAAGTTAATAATACTGATCCCAAACTTTTTGATTCATGAACCAAGCCTACAGTTCTGAGACTGATGCAAAGCACACAAAAAAAAGTATTTGAAAAGAGAAAAAAGTCTGTGTACTTTCATTATTTTAAGAGGCTCATCCCATTACAAACAGTCTTTAAAATTGACCTATAGTCACTGAATATAAGTAACCTGGGAGGAAGACCAAGAGAACTGACCTTCATCTCGAGTGTAGTCCTCTCCTGAGTGAGGCTCAAACAGATAGTCTCCAGTCGCCAACTCAAACGCCTGTGAAGACACATCATATTACTGCTCTCTCACATGACGCACAAGCAGGAAGCTCAAATCTACATATGAACATCCTGACCATTTTTTCAGTGTCTTTATGGAAAAGTAAATGTTAGATCAGGGCTGTCCAAACTCGGTCCTGCAGAGTTTAGCTCCAACTTGCCTCAACACACCTGACTGGAAATTTCTATTCCTAGTAAGAGCTTGATTAGCTGGTTCAGGTGTGTTTATTAGGGTTGGAGCTAAACTTTGTGGGACACCGGCCCTCCAGGACTGAGTTTGGACAGCCCTGTGTTAGATCAACACTGAATGAGTTCGTACCATACACGCAGTGCTCCATATGTCAGCGGGGGGTCCGTACTCGGCTCCGATCAGCACCTCCAGAGCTCGGTACTGGCGCGTCTGGATGTCCTCGGTAAAGTGCTTGTGCTGATGTGGAGGAGAGGACATCAGTAAACATCACACATCACCAGCTCTTTGTGTTCAAACACCTGATGTGATCCATAATTCACTTTCTGAATGCCTGGAATCGACCCACTGTACTCACCACCCAGCATGCATTGCCTAGGTCTGCAATCTTGATGCGTATTTTATCTGCGTTCTGAGGTTCTAGAGGATTCACTAAGAAATCAGCAGCAGAGCACGCTGTAGGGAAAATAACAGACCATTTGAACATTGATGTGAAATTTTCAGCAACATAATTACAGCCAATCAGAAGATATTTGACACTTAATTTAAGATAAAAAGCCTACAGAGAGCAGCAGTTGGATTCCAGAGGTAAGAATCCCATTTATTTTCTCCACAGGGGAACTAATTTTGAGCGACAACTTATAAACCTTTAAAAACAGACCTACTGTGAACTATGAGGTTGTTAATCAATGGGGGGTCCGTACTCGGCTCCGATCAGCACCTCCAGAGCTCGGTACTGGCGCGTCTGGATGTCCTCGGTAAAGTGCTTGTGCTGATGTGGAGGAGAGGACATCAGTAAACATCACACATCACCAGCTCTTTGTGTTCAAACACCTGATGTGATCCATAATTCACTTTCTGAATGCCTGGAATCGACCCACTGTACTCACCACCCAGCATGCATTGCCTAGGTCTGCAATCTTGATGCGTATTTTATCTGCGTTCTGAGGTTCTAGAGGATTCACTAAGAAATCAGCAGCAGAGCACGCTGTAGGGAAAATAACAGACCATTTGAACATTGATGTGAAATTTTCAGCAACATAATTACAGCCAA